AAGAGCAGTGCTAATTCTAATCAATAAGTGGTCAATCTGTCTTTTAGAAAATTCCAAACCATTGTCAGTGGCTTCCTCCATTGCTCATGTGGTCCCCTCTCTCCAATAATCTCCATTGTCATAACTCTCATAAAGTTATCCTTTGTACTAATTTTTACTCATTATTTAATCTCCAGTACCTTTTGTAGGGTTTAGCATTTAAAATTATGCAATAAATATTTAATGAATGAATGATAGGCTAAGTGAAACAAAGGTCATATCTTCACAAACCCTCACACTTAATCAGTTCTTAGTAATTGTTAAATAGGTCCAAGGCATCCCCTCTTCTATCAAAGTTTACTTCTTCTAAGTTCAATTCCTTGGGATTATAGCTCACTATGAGTCAATTAATGGAATAGTTCAAAAAGATGATTCATGCGTTAATATGCTTCCTCTTTCAAATTTGTATCTTAGACAGAGATCTTAAATATTTTTTTCACTCTCACACAGATAACTAATACTCGGAATTTCAGGAACATGGCAGGCTGGAAAGATGGAGTTTCTCAAATCTTATCACATGGACACATCTTCTGTCTATACAAAAGAGAGATGTTGATGTGGTCAAAGAATCTTTAGACCAGCTACTTTCTGACAGGTGTTTTGTTATATGTGTTTTCAGAGAGTGACAGAAAGCGCTGTGAATGGTGAGGGGATAAGCCCTGTAGTGAGTGATAAGACAGAAAGTTTGGGGACCAATGCATTTTGAAGATTTTTTCTAATTACCTGTAAGATGACAATGACAGCATTACATAAATAACATTAAACTAAAAAGAGGCTCTTGGGCTTCCCTGGTGGCACAGTGGTTGAGAATCTGCCTGCCAGTGCAGGGGGACATGGGTTCAAGCCCTGGTCTGGGAGGATCCCACATGCCGCGGAGCAACTGGGCCTGTGAGCCACAGCTACTGAGCCTGCGCGTCTGGAGCCTGTGCTCCGCAACAAGAGAGGCTGCGATAGTGAGAGGCCCGCGCACCGCAATGAAGAGTGGCCCCCACTTGCCCCAACTAGAGAAAGCCCTCACACAGAAACGAACACCCAACACAGCAAAAAAATAAATAAAATAAATTAATGAAAAGAGGCTCTTTTGGACAACTGAATGTCAGAGAACTTAGTTTGCCAAACAAACACTTTGCTTTTGGAAGGGGGTTTGGTTTACTGTTTCATTTTATTTTTACACATAAAATTTTAAAATATATAATACATTTGTGAGATAACTATATTCCTTATGATTTTTAAAAAAGGACTGATTGCACTTATGTTTGGAATTTTCTATGTATAGCAGGAAACAAAAATGGCTTTTGAAAATTGGTATTTTGACTTCTGTATCATGAGAAACTGGTGATTATATAAACATAATTTTAAAATCATTATTTTAAAATAATGATATTTCTATGTTTAGAAATGAAATAAATAAAAGACATTTGGTATTAAAAATGTCATTATTGCAAGAGCTACTAGTCAATATTGGATGATCTAATCATGTTAAAACATTATATAGGGCAAACATTTTACTACTGTGATCCCTACCTTTGCTAATGACAATAAAGTAATAAAGTCCAAGAATCTTTTCTCACTGATTTTAGGGTTTAATTTTTGTTTATATTTTAATGTGGAGAGATGATGTTCTGAGAGTCCAACATCATCAAATCCAACTTTTTACAACTGACTCGGGAGAAAGTAAAAATCTTTTCAGGACCCCTATTCTTTTTCTTATAAAAAAGATCAAAATAATTGAGCATTGCTATCAACTACTGGAAGAAAGTCCAAGAAAAAGATGAAATGTTTAAAAAAAATGGAAAACATAATATTCTCAAGGTAATTCATAATTATGATATCCTATGAACTAACCTGTCAGTCATTCTACCTGGCAAAACAGAGGAAGCAAAGTCTGTGAATACAAACAACATATTCTAAAAGATCATTGCAAAGTAGTACCAGAGAAGTCGTCCACCACTTACGATGACGATGAGAAAAAGAAAATCCGTCCCACACAAAAGCTGCCAGATTGTCACCAAGATTAGCCATCTGAAGAAAGGTAACCCATCCATTGGTTGGTCTGTGATCTTGGACTTAGGACTTCTGGCTCAGTACTAAAAATAAGTATAGAGCAGCTAGATTCTTTCTCATTTATTTGACTAGGAAGATTTAGAGAGGAGAAGCCATTATCTCCGGGAACAGATGTCCAAAAGTTATCATGTAACAAGAAACATCACTGGAGCTCATGCTAAACTCTCACAGGGTAAGTTTACGAAGACACAGAAACTTGAGAAAGCAGTGGACGCCACTAAGTGTTCAGGGCAAACACATTTTTTTCTCTAGCCATTTCCACTTTGTTTCTGCTGATAAAACCTCTGATTTTGTTTGTATAGTAAGGGACTAGGCAGAAAGGTTGAACTATGACTGGTCTAAGCCCAGTGGTCTGTTAGGATAAGCTTATACCTAACATAAAAATAGGCTCACAAGAGCTATTTGTATGCATCTCTTCCCAATTCAGAGTTCAATGATATCGCAGTGGCAGCTGGAAACTCACCCGTGTGGGAGTATTTCTGTCACAGAAATCAGCAAGTGCTGCAAATTAGTACTACTACTCTCTCTGGCCCGAGTCAGTTGTGAACCATTTACCAGCACTCTAAGCCCATCACGGAAACCCCATTTCCTTTTGCCATCGATTGGTCCAGAAGTAGGTACAGGGCCAAGTTCTGACTTATGATTAGAGAAAATCTGATGGAAGGCATCTGGGAAAGACTTCCTCCTTGATAAGTTAAAGCCAACAAGCCACCTTGCCTTCCTGCTTTAAGTGATATTGTGTAGCACTTTGAGATGTAAAATGAGGGAAGGTCAATAGAAATCCAGAGATGCCTACATAGGTCATTAATAACCTCAAACCACAACCAAACTGGCAATCAAAGGGCAGGAAAGTGAGAACAGTCCACACCAGGTATAGAAAATAGTGGAGTGCACTGTTTGTAGAGAATTTAAAAACAATAATGAAACACATTAAATATGAATCCACTTTTTATTGTTACCCTATACTGGCAATTCCAAAAAATGTTAGTGATAAGATACTCCTCCCCACATACAGGGACTATTCCTATCCAAGTCCTCTGGTGTGCTAGGGCCAGTAAGTCTAGAATCAACTATCTTAAACATCTAGTTACATGAGATAATTAAAGGTTTTTGTGATTTAAGCAACTTTCATATGAGTTTTCTGTTACATGCAGGCTCTTAAGTACTATGGTTTTTCACAGAAAGTAACAGACTCAGGTTAATCCAGCACTAAAAGGAAAATAGGAGCTTCTGCTCTGCAGACCCACAGAGTTGCTTAGATCCCAAGCTCCCCACAGCTCTAATCACACAAGGCCTGGCCAGTTATGGCTCCTATTCTTACACGTTCAGGGGATTCTCCCTATTCTGCCATCAGCTTAATTATAATAAACTGCCTCTACATTGACTAGTGTGAGTAGGTTTGCCTTGTAACCAAAAGAACCAACTAAGAATCAGAACCTGGCATTTAACAACTAAATTACAAAAGACTGACCCAACATAAGATGTTGATTGGATTCACACTGCAAAGTCTGTACTAAGAGGATAGCAAACAGACAGAAATAGGCTTAACAGAGCATTGCTTATAGTAGTTAAAATGTATCTAAATCCTCATGAAAGAAAAGATAAATGAATGATTTTTTGAAGAAAATATAACAATGTGGGAAAATTCAGCCAACTATTACCTGTAAAAAGGCAATACATAATTACACAATTATTTGAAAACACACACACACACACACACACATATATATATATATATGCTGGTTGGAAATAAATCACATATTAGTAGTTGTTATTTCTGAATAGTGTTATCAAGGGATTTTAATATTTCTCCTGTTCATTTTCTATTATTTTCAAAGTTTTAGCTCTAAAGAAATAAAACAATCTAAAGTAGTTAATTAGCACATATTTCCTTTTCATTAGTATATTATGAAAATACACCAGGTTTCAAGATATTGTTCACAATGAGAAAGCATACATATATGAAAGTAATTAAATTGATAAGGTAGATAAAATACAATCAGGAAACTTTAAAAAAGATAAAATGATGTTAGAAACTCATAAGAAATTGCATTTTATAAAAGGAATCATCACATTCCAAGAAAATCTCTCTCTCAGAAAAAAATATGTAATTTATTTTAGTGAGAGGCTTAATTTTTAAGAGAATAAAACAATTAAAAAATATTTAGTTATTTGCTGTTACAACAGTATAATCAAAACCTGAGTTATGCTTCTGAGAATATAGCTTTATGAGAGTGATTTCACAATCTTGTGGGATGCTACTCTAATATATGATGAGAGAATTATCTGAATTTGACGTGGAATCTCAAGCCTGTCTGTGATTGATGTAGTTAGATGTTTACTCTTGTTCATTTTATTCTTTAGATCACCACTATTCAAATACATATAGTGGTAGTTGAAGTATATATTATATCTCAAATCAATGAAGAGTTTTCCCATTAATATACATTTTTTTTTCTGAGTAGAGAAAAATCTGGTTGGGAAAAAAGTGCAGGAAAATGAAGAGATATAACTATATTAAAAGTGGGGGGGGATGATGATTTATCTGTAAAGCCAGGAAATGCCTAAATTTTCCACATGCTATTTTCAATTATGCTTTGCCCATGAATAGGAATTTCTTTTAGAGAGTGTAAATTGTTGAGGTGTATGGATTACAAGGCATGAGGCTCATTATCCTAGGGTAGATCATATGTAGCAGCACTTTGCTTCAGAAAGGCTATCACTAGAAAAAAGTCTCATAATATTTCATAAAATTCATTACATTCAGTATCATCCTATTACAATTTGTATGGAAACACAAAAGACCCCGAAGAGCCAAAGCAATCTTGAGAAAGAAAAACGGAGCTATTTCATAAAATTACAAGAGCAAATATAGAAATTAAAAGATAAAACCATACCAGATACAGCAAGGAAGTCATCAATGCTTGTAATGTCATCTACAGCTTCAGTGAGGACATGGACATGATTCTCCCACGTGCATCTGTACATTTCCATGGTTTTTTTGACCACTTGGCTTTTGGGTCTTGCAGCCAAAGCAAGTGCAGCATTAATAATCTGTAAAGATGTAGAATGTTCACATAGTGATTTCTTTCAGAATAGTTACCATTGTGCTTGTGACAGGCATTCTTTTTAAAAAAAAATTAGATATGTTTATGCCCTCATGTGTAACTCCTTCTTTGCTTTTGCTAATAGTTTAATTTTATTTTTGGTAATAATTTAATTAATTTTAGAACTGTTTGTTGAGCATCAATGCACTAAGAACTGCAAGAGATACAAAGATAATTGGTATCTGCCTACAAGAAGCTTGCATACTACTCAATGGGAAGGGCACCATATAACTCCAGCTCAGTTCCGGATGCAATACGTGCCATAATTACAAAAATGATAGACGGTCTTTAGAAAGTAGAGAGATCACCTTCAGCAGAAGTTCTAAGAAAAGGTTGTGAAAAAGGTGCAGGAAAATGAAGAGATATAACTATATTAAAGGGGGCGGGGAAATGATGATTTATTTGAAAAGCCAGGAAATGCTTACATTTAACTGGTCACTTGGATTCACATTGCACAACTATGTGGTGAATGCCCATTATATGCAAATCACGGGAATAAAAGCTTGACTTCCTTGAGGACTTGAAAATTTTTACCAGTAGATATTCCCTGTTAATTAATTCATTCGTTCGTTTGTGCATTCACTCATCATTCAGTATTTCGAATATATTCTGAGTGTTGTTTTTTTTTTTTAATGTATCAAGCACTGTTCTTGATTTTAGGGATATGGCAGTGAACAAGACACAAGCAAAAATCATTTTCTTCATGGAACTTATATTCCAGTTAGGGGAGGCAGACAAATAGCAAGTTAAATAAGTAAAATATATGGTCTCTTCGATGGTTATAAGAAATAAGGAGAGAAACAGAGCAGAGAAGGGGGATAAGGGGTGGAATGGTGGTGAGGGTAGGAAGTCTGCAGTTTCAGCAAGGCCTCACACTGAAGTGGACATCATGGGTGAGAAAGTACTGTGGAACAGAGAAGTAGCAATATTCAAAAAGTGAGAAAGCAGGCTAAATGCTATGAGAATGGTGAGCAGGCTCACCTAGACCCTGGCTATGCATAAGGAGTCCTTGACCGTCTTGCTCAGGACTGTGACCTTATTTGGAAGGTACTGGAGCGTCATTTAAACTTTTGAGTGATCTGCTCAGAACTACACTATAGAAAATTTTATTTGGCAAACAAGGCTACTGTAATAGGTTACAGGAATAAGGAAGAGTTTGGACTGCAGTGGTGGACGTACTGAAAAAGTTTTGACAGGACTTACAATAATTTAAAGGAGGACGTGGATAGATCAATTATTGCCAAAAATATCATGCAGACATTAACACATCTGTGAGAAACAATGCTTAAAGACATGGAAATATATCCACCAAAGTGTAGTTAACAGCAGGTTACAAAACACATCAAGCTTCATAGAATGTCACTTCTAGCAAATATGCTAGAACTAAAAGTTAGATGAATCCATACAACAAATAACAATGGTTCTCTCAGAGTGGTGGAATTTCCAGTGCTTTTTATTTGATTTTGTGTGTGTAACTGAATTTTTCAGATTTTCAACAGTGAATATGTTTTAGTCGTATACTCAGGATAAATGAAGTTATTCTCTAAAGGAAGTGATTGCTAAGGTTTTTGCATGATTAATGAAGAGAATGATTATAGTATTGATAGAAAATGAGAGATCAGAGAGTTAAAAAGTCAGTCAGGGTTGTAGAAGCAGATGTGTGAAACTGTTTTGGAGGACACTGTTGATGAAGGGTATTAGATGTCAACTTTCCTAATACAGAGGTTGACTCTGAAGTGACTCTTGTCTCTCCCTACAAATTACATAGTGGCCAATCACAGATGTGAAATCGGAGTTCATAAAAAAGTTGTCATTCATTTACTCACTTGCTTGTTCATGCGTTGAGACAAATTAGTGCCATCAGATTCTACATGGAATACTAAAGACATCACAATGAAGAAGATTCCATCATAATTTCTAAAACAGCCCATAATCTAGAAGGGGAATAAGCCAAAAGCCAGGCAACTGCAACATACCGGTGATTCTCAAACGTTAGCCTCTATCAGAATCCCCTTGGATGGCTTGTTGAAACAGATTCCTGAGCCGTGCTCTAGAGTTTCTGACTCAGTTACTGTGCTTTGGAGCCTGAGAATGTGCACGTCTAACCAATTCCCAGGTGATAGTGATACTACTGGTCTGGGGCTTCCAGTTTGAGAACGACTGCAATATATAAGTGCTATAATGTAGGGGTTATTGTAAAGGCAAGCAGAAGGTGCCTTATAACACATGGGAGAGGTATTCAGCGCCATAAGGAAAGGTTTTTCAAAGGAATAAAATCTGAGAAATAAGTGGAAATTAGTATAAGGTGATACCCATTTAGGAAGAGGCAATAACATGTGATAATAATGATGATGACCTAGAAGAAAGGTAGAGCCTAAACCTCACCTCCTGAGGGGGAGGAGATAGTAATAAAGTTGTAAGAAAATCAAAGAAGACAATGGAAAAAGGGAGGAAAGAACTCACCTTTGCATTCCAATATAAAGTACCAGTATGTATGAGGAAAGGATACAGTGGAAGTGATAAAGATGAGAGAAGGAATCGTTGGGGAGGTAGAAAAGTAAGGTACTGAAGAGTCAAGACGAGGAAGAAAATCTTTTCAAAGGGTCAAATGCCATAGAAATGTCAAGAATAATGAGGACTAAAAATGGCTTTTGAATTTGGAAAACAGGAATAATTGGTGTAGCAGAATACTGGATACAAAATTCAGATTTCACCAAAATATAATGGCAACGATAAAAAGAATTTTTTTCTACTCAGTAACCTAAAGGCTGCACCTTACATACATGACTTTCAACAAATTATTGGAGGTACAGAAGGAGAGAAATTAGTTGCTTGAAAATATTATGTTGATATTCTCATTTCTTTTTTATGAAAAAGGAACACATTGAATTTTCAGGAAACACACACTACCTTTAGAAATGACAGCTCCGCAGTATTCTTGGACTTCCGTTTTACAGTTTTATTAACCTATTAACTTACAATGTACGTCTGTGTACACTGCAGAGGCTCTGGTCTCTGGTGTTTCATTGCCCTGCAGTTGAACAACTGCACACATGTGGTTGTGGACAGTTATGCCTTCACACTCTGTGCAGAGTGTTAAAATACTTGTGCAGATCCCTCAGTGGAGATACGGAATCACAAATATAAGGCAGGCTGTATTTTGTAAGAAAACTTCCAGTTCTGCAGCTGATCCAATTTACTGATTCAACAATGCACACTATAAGAAAATTTATCCTACTTGACTCTCCTGATATTTAGCTTAAATCTAAAAGCAGACAAAACTCAGAAGATGTGCAAACCCTCTTTAAGACAGAAGAAATCTTCATCCCAGAGTCATACTCCTAACATTTTAGCTACATAGCTAGAGGTGTGGGGGGGGGACTATTCTTAAATCCTCTTCATGTGTAACTAAAGATGACTTAAATCTGAAGCGAATGATGTTGCTTTCTGAGGCATCTTTCTTTAGATTATGGTTGAGGTGTGTACATGTCAGAATCACCCTTGACCCTGAGAATCACCTAATTAGTTCAACTTTGACATAGTATCTTTAACTTTAAGAACTTACTATATCTTAATAGGACTACTTTGATAGCCTTCCAAATAGTTTCCTAATTCTAGTACCTATTTGCTCCAGGCCATTCTCCTTGCTACAAACACATGTAGTTTTCGAATGCACAAGGGATCCTGTCCCACCATGCCTGATAACCTTTGATAGAATCCTAGCTGACTGAAGATAAAATCCAAATTCCTTTTCACCAATTCACAGTCTAAAAGCTTCCACAGGCTAGCCCTTACCTCCATTTTCAGTCTGCTGTAATAATCTCCCTCATTTTAGCCTACGTTCCAGCCATCCTGTCTTCAGCTCCATTTTCTGACCACATGATGTATCTTCACACCTCCATGACTTTGTTCTTACAACTGAATCTGCTTCAACACCATTCCTCCATCCCTTTCCCTGCCCTGGTCCTTCTGAGGAAACATTTCTTTAACAAACCTGTTGAAATGTCATTGCATACTGTGAAACCTGTCCCTTTCCCTATACTCGGGAACCTGAATTGTCTTTGGTGTTTTAAAAGTACTTTGTCCATATAACTAAATAGTAGTTATCATATTGCATGATTGTTTATACACATCTGCTCCATATGAGCCTGTTTATAGGAGGGACTGTGTTTTGTTCATCTTTGCTTCTATACTAAGCATGTTAATCACGGTTACTGCCATATTCATAAACCGTCCCTAAAATACATTTTTCTACTCCTAGTCTACTCTTAGCTCCATAGGGAGCCAAGTTTGGTATCACATTTTTCCCTCTTCAAAACTGTTGAGATCATAGGTTGGCACCCACTTCAAGGACATCCAATCTGTAGGCTGACCAGTGATTGGTCATGGGCATGATGTAAAAGGTTGAGCTGGTCAAATCTCTCTTGAAAATTTGAACTAGAACTTACAGAGAAAGAGTTAGTTAGCAATGGAAATGAAAGATGAAAAAAATATATATATAGAGAGAGAAGCCATCTAGTAAAATCAGAACCAGAGGGGTTGATGGGGTTAAGGCCATGAGGAAGTAGAACAAACCAAAGTTGAAAGGAAAAAGAAACTATGAGTTTGAAGTTATTATGTAAAGAAAAGAATGAGCATAGAGTAAAATAAGCCAGTGGATTGAAAGAAAAATGGAGAAAATATGTAAAGAGAGTCAAAAGCACCAACAGAGAGAAAATACTCAGAAAAAAAAAGAGCTGGGAGTTGACTCTTTTTGAGAGCTTCCTATTTGGGGTCAACAGTCCACAGAAAAAATAATAGCAATAATAATAAATACTAATACTCAAAGCCCCTGCTCTGTGCCAAACACTGTTCCAAGCACTTTCTCTATACTAACCCACGTAATTTTTACAACTCAGCGAGGTGTTACCATCCCCATTTTTCAGACAAGACCGTCCAGTTATTAAG